GCTGAACTCATGTATTATCTTACTTTTCCTAAGATCCCATAGTGATACTACCTTTGTCAATGTATAAGACAGAAACCAGAGTCTTCTGCTGAACCAGCATTCATCCTTATTCTACAACTGCAAATTTTGCATCCTAAATTCTTTTCAATCTCAAATTTCCTGGATTTTTGTTGTCGCTATTTTATTTCATGCTACCATCATTTCTTCTGAATTACTGTAAGACCCCTCTCACTGGTCTTTTTTTCTTTTCCTTTCTTTTCTTTTCCCTTTGGTCTTGCTCCTGTGTACATATCTCCATACTGCAAATGGCCTTGTTGAAATACAAATTCAATTGCACTGCTTCATAGGTTAAACTCATGGTTCATCATTGCCTTTGGATAATGTTTTTTTTTTTTCTTCTCCTTTGCATGGCATACAAGCCATGCATATACCTTCTGACACATCCATTAGATTCTTGCCTCAGTCATTCAAAATGATCTTTTTTGGCTGTAGACCTATGCTTCAGATTACTTACTTTGCCAATGTTTTTATTTTTTTATTTTTATTTTTATTTTTTTTTGCTTCATGTCTTCAGGTCTCAGTTTAGAGATTACATTCTTTGAGGTAAGTCCTTGATCTTTCAACACTGCATTCCTTATTCAAATTAAGTTGGTGATGTCTTCCAAAGGTTCCTATAGACAGTCCATAATAGCATTTATTACATTTTACTTTCTTTTTCATGTGTCAGTTTTGCCTACTATATATAATCTCTTTAAGGATTGCACAGTAGGATGGTGCTTAATAATTTTGTGAAATAATGGAATAATTGTCATAGTTGATTAATAATCTGTCAGTGCCCTGACAAATGTAGAGCTGGAATTTAGATTTTTAGTATGTAGACAAACCTATGCATTGTGGAGGATACTACATTCCTTTACATAATCAACTTAATCATTATGATAGAAACTTCACCTCTGAAAGTCATAACTGGTTTGGGATAAAAATTGACAACCAAAGAAGGCAAATTAAAAAACAAAATAGAAAACTACTCCATCATATAAGGCTACTTTATAAAATGTCCACAGTGTATGAAATCCTAGAGGAAAGCAGTTCAGCTTTAAGAAGTTCACTGAAAGAAATGCAGTCTTTTTTGAAATTAATGGAAATATTCTTTTCTTCATGAAAAACAAAATAAGTGTTCATTAAACCCATATGCTTCAAATAAATGTTTTCTAAATTTTCAGTATAGCATAAATATCCTACACAGAGGGAGATTAAGATTCAATTATCATTTGGGACACACACAAAAAGCTAATTATTTATATTTTAAATACATATGGCAACTTTCCCATGACTATTTTCTTTTCCCTTAATGGCCTTTCTTAGTAATATAATAAAAACGTATTCTTGGTTTCATGGATAGAGATGAGTTCATCTCTTTACCAAAAGCTTTTGGAGGACATAGTTGCATGATGAGCAAAATACTATGTGCAATGGAAATATTTTTGGTAACGTTGATAAATGGCTGATTCTACATATCTCATGCTGGAAACGCTAAAAATATGTTTCCATTTTAAAGTATAAGTGGTCTGTACATGTTTATTAAAGGAATTATTGCATCATACTTCACAAATAAAGCACAAATAAAATTGGAGTTTGGCATAAATGTTATACTAACAGAATTTTAAATTCATTAACATCTGTATAAATACTTGTTGATAGGGTGTTTATGGCTTCTTCCTTAACCAATCCAATCTGTTGTTGTAAAGTAGACAGCATTGGCATGAAACCAGTAACTCTAAGATCCATTTGTGTGTGACAAGCAACATTCCTATTCTTTTAAAATATATTTAGATATATATGTAATTGATCACTAAGGAAAATGACTTCATGAATAAAGGATTGTTGTTGCCAAACGTTAAAAACAGAAATTTTGGGAATAGAGCCAAAGCTGTATGTAAGGGTCAAAGGCTAACTGCAGTACTGATCACTCCTTTACATATTTCACTATATTTTATGGGAGGGAAGCTAAAAAAAAGTACTAGAATGAAAAATACTTGGTAGTTTCTGACATTTAAATTAATTTTCAAAATTTGTCTGTTTGGGGGTTGGGTGGTACATAAAGTAGACGAATGACCTTTAGGAAAGCAAAGGAAAAGTCTTTTGTATTCAACTCATTTATATAATTCTACCCGAAATGATATGTTTTGCCATTTGTATTGGTCAGTTGAATTTAATCTCCTCAATAACCTTATACTGGAGTACCAAACACTACATAAAGAGTGGTTCTTTAGTTTCTTCTGTGAGAACCACGTTAAGTCAAGAAAATTGCAGGTTGTTAAAGTCATATTGTCATGCGTATTAGTCATATTAATGTATAATGTGTCTCCAAGTTTGCTGTTAACTAGGGCCAGGACTAGGGTTAAGTGAAGTGGGGCAAATGAAATACTTTACAAAATTTACACAAAATTTAAGGGGTGACAAAAATCTCAGGAATCAGGGGAATAATATTTGAATGTAATATTTTAAAATAAAAGTTCATGCAAAAATCCATGATAAACACAATATAAAAGTTTTCAGTGACAGGATCAGTAAAGTGCTATGCCAAGCTGTATTAGAACCTGAGGTAAGGGAAATATCAGTAATACTGATCCTTCACGGTCAAGGCATTGGTAGATTTACTTTTTCCTAAATAATAATAAGTGTTAATAGGATATTATTTTTAGAACTACCCAGTAGCCATTGTCTAAGATTGTTTTCTACATTTCCAATCACTCTGACACACTACTTAATTTTTTCACTAGAAAAGCCTCTGGAATTGTGACATATGAGAAATTAATTATAGGATAAATTAATTCAGTCTATATAGGAGAGTCTACATCTTAGTCATCTGTCTGTTTAGGATCTATCTTGCACGTAATTAGTTGGCTTTTTTACTTACTAACTGTGTAATTTTGGGCAAATTATCTATCTTCTCTCTACCTCGTTTTTTTTTTTCTCTTAAAATGTCTAGAATAATTCCAAACCTCAGAACACATATAATGCCTAACATATAGTAAGAATTTTTTTAAAGATTTTATTTATTCATGAGAGACAGCAAAAGGCAGAGACATAGAGGGAGAAGCAGGCTCCTTGTGGGGAGCCTGATACTGGACTTGATCCCAACCCCGGGATCACAACCTGAACCTAAGGCAGATGCTCAACCACTGAGTCACCCAGGCGCCCCTATAGTAAGGATTTAATAAGTATAGCCATTTTGCTATTTCTAAAATTAAATGAGCTCTATTATGCATAGCCTTAATGCTATCTCAGTTGCCTTGGACCAAGACTTAGCTATCCTGGAGGTGAGACTATCTGTAGGACAGATAGGACTATCTGTAGGAATCTCTAAACACAGGCCAAGATCAAGGTTCCAGGGGGTCACTGGAAAGATCCCAAGATTAACCACAAAACTAGACAGAACAATTTTCTGGGAGAGTCCAGGAAGTCTTCGTTCAAAGAATTCTAAATCTATAACAGGTATTTTTAAAAATGTATTTTATTTCCTAATATATGAGGATTTCTGTGTGTCTTTAATAAAGAAAAGTTAATTTCCAAAAGATAACAAGGATACAGAGTCCTAATTGATTTCAAGTTATTTCAAATAATTTTTAGCAATTGCTCAGTAATAACCATGAAGGAGGTTCCATTGACATGATTCTCTCCTGTTTCACTCTCTCAATTTAATTACTCTTGGAAAATATTCCCCTATCCAATCTAGACTCCCTCAGGGAGTGTTAATATAGTAGGTCATCCAAACTAGGGCCCACCCAATAGAATGGAGAGGCTGATGATGTAAGTAGGTTGGCTTTCAAAATAACATGATCATAGTGCCCGTATAAGTATTACTGCCACCTGTGTTTTGTTTGTTTGTATAGTTGGACTTCAGGTTCTTGCTATATTTAAAAGCTTTTGCTCTGGTAAAAAGACATCTCTAATTCTACTCATTTATGTATATTTATTAATTGAGGGCCAAGTATACAGGTGATTTCCTTTATTAATTTTATTTCAAAAGAAGTTAGTAAGTGGTATTAATATTGATACACTAATGATAGAGGCTTGATGCATCCAATTAAACACTTTTGGTATCATTGCAATCATTGTTTTTATAGCAACAAGACAACAATACTTATCACACATTTATACATTCATAATACATTTCCCATTGACTATTAATTTTCTGCCTCTGATGATTTCTCTACCTGTCAAGAATACAGATATACTTCTGTCACAGACCCGGCTGGTATCACATTAAATACTGAATATATATTAAAATATTGTTTGTGTTATAAAACCAATAGTAAGCATAAATAATTTTCTTTCAGTTTTTTTAGGAGGATGGGGAAGGGCAGAGGAAGAGGGAGACTCAAGCCGGCTCCACACCCAGCATGGAGCCCAACTCCAGGCTTGATTTCACAACCTGAGATCATGACCTGAGCTGAAATCAAGAGTCTTTGCTTAACAGACTACGCCACCCAGGTGACCTTCTTTCATAATTTGACAAACATATTAGAGATCAATAAACCTGGTCCCAAACTTATTGTTTTCCATGGGTAATCATTTAAATGAGTATTCCTATAGATTGAAGATTTTAGAATTTTCTAAGTGTATACTTTATTAATGCAGACTTTTTCATTATATTTTGTTTAGAAAGATTTTAATCTTATGTAGCAGAAGTTCATTTGTAAATGAATCAGGGCCTCCATTCATTGATTTCACTTTTAATTGAAAAGATAGGTAAAAGTATTATTGAACTACTTATACTCTAGTGAGGAAAAAAGTAAAGATAGGCATTACCAGTCTTCCCTACAAAATTAATTTTGGCTTTAAACTAATTATATAAATGATTTGGGGAAGCTTTTTTTTTCTTTTTTTGGAGGGGAAGTAAGGGATGGGGTTTGAAACTGGATGGGACTTTAATTGGTCAAGTCACTTTGCTTATCAGAGACAATTTTGTCATTCATCAACATTAGAAAGGAAAGAAATATATGGAACACTTTATGAATTTGCAGGTCATCCTTGTTCAAGGCCATGCTAATTTTCTCTATATATTTCAATTTTAGTATATGTTTTGCCAGGTGAGCACTAAAAGCTCTTTTTATCATTTTTATTTTGTTGTGATATATACAATGTATACAAAATGTTGCATATAGCAGGCGTTTACAATTTCAAGGTTTATAAGATTATATGTTACATAATTTATGCATAAATTGTTTAAAATTATATAAATAAGAATATAAATATATATTCCATGTGACCTCTGATCATTAAAAAAATAGAACACTGCTTGTAAATGAGAAGTCCTGCTCCAAAGTGTCTTCTTTTAGGGATAACAACTATGCTAAAGTTTATGACTTTCTTGGTTTCCTTTATAATTTTTAATTTTTTTTAATTTTTATTTATTTATGATAGTCACAGAGAGAGAGAGAGAGGCAGAGACACAGGCAGAGGGAGAAGCAGGCTCCATGCACTGGGAGCCCGACGTGGGATTCGATCCTGGGTCTCCAGGATCGCGCCCTGGGCCAAAGGCAGGCGCTAAACCGCTGCACCACCCAGGGATCCCTATAATTTTTACTACCAATATATTAAGCAAGCTTTGCTTGCTACAATTCTGAAGGTATTCTTTTCTTTTAAGATTTTTAAATTTATTTATTCATGAGAGACAGAGAGACAGAGAGAGAGAGAAAGAGAGAGAGGCAGAGACACGGGAAGAGGGAGAAGCAGGCTCCATGCAGGGAGCCTGATGTGGGACTTGATCCTGGGACTCCAGGATCACACCCTGGGCCAAAGGCAGGTACTAAACTGCTGAGCCACCCAGGGATCCCTGTAGGTATTCTTTTTTGTTCATTTGTTCAATATTGTTTGTGAGATTCATCTATGTTGGTGTGTATAGATGCAGTTCATTACTTTCCAACACCATACTATATTCTACTGTATGATGTATTACAGTTTATCCATTCCATTGTTGTTGGACACATGGGCTGTTTCCAACTTTGGACTATTAAGAAAAACACAACTCTGACTATCCTTGTACAAGTTCCCATAGGGCAAGCATTTAGGAATGTAATTGGAGGATCATATGAAATGTGTATCTTTCAAGCCCACCACATGTAAAAGTGCTTTCCAAATGGTTGTACCAAATTGTATTTCAATCAGCAAAATATAAGTCTTATTGGCTATTTATTTTCTAACAGTTTTGTTAGGGTTTTTTTTTTTTTTACTTTGCAGATTTAATTTGTATTTCACTGCTATAAAATAGATTAGACCTCTTTTTATACGTTCACAAATTATGTGGATTTCTTCTTTTGTGAAAAATATGTTAAAGCTTCTTGTTTATTTTGCCTATTAGGCTATTTGACTTTAAGGAATTATTTATATATCCTGGATATGAGAACTTTGTTGGTTATATGTTTGGCAAATACCTTCTCCATCTCTGTGGATTATTATTTCACTACTATTATGACATTTTTGGATTTAGATATATTCTTAATTTTAATGGAAATATATATATCAAGATGACCAGTACTTTTAAAGAAATAGTTCCATATCCAATGTTATATTCTTTCACATTGTCTTCCGTGTTATGCTTTTGCTTCTTACATTTAGGTCTTTAATGTGAATATAATAATTTTTTAAGTATAGATAACGGTTTAAGTAAGATTTATTGAAAGTCTACCAATTTCCCACTGATTTAGAATACTGTCTTACAATATCAATTAAGCATATATGCATGGGCCTCCATCAGTTGTCGTTTTCTATACTATTTTACTTTACCTACCCTATCTGATCCTAGAATTACTACCATCCCATCCTATCTCATCTCATCCATCCCATTCCATCCATACCACTCAATACCATACCACACCACAATATATTCACTGTCTCATTTGTGTCAGCTCTATAATATGTTTATTAATAATAGATTATGGCATTTGACAAGTTCTCCCAATTTATTCATCCTTGTTGAGTGTCTTCTGGCTATTTGCAGATTTTGATTTTCTATACAAATTTTAGATTCTGCTTGTCAGTGCCCAGAAACACCTCTTGTTTCATTGAGATTTCATAGTATCCACTGCTAATTTTGGAACAATTTAAATCTTTGAAATTTAGTCTTTCAATTCATAAATTTATTTATAGTTTTTCTTTAACATTCTTGATAGTGTTTTACAATTTCCCTGATAAAGTCTTGCACATTTTTTGTAGACACACTCTTTGGTACATTATTTTAAAAATACTTTCACATCTGTATCATCAGAAAATGGACATTTGGGAGAGAGGGAAATAAGCTATAAGTGAGTCTCAGTGACAGAGAACAAACTGAGGTGGGTGGGAAACAGATATTAAAGGCGGCACTTGTGATGAGCACTGAGTGTTGTACGTAAGTGATGATTCACTGAATTTTACCCCAGAAACCAATATCACACTGTATATTAACTAACAAAATTAAAATAAAAAAAAAAAAACCTGTCACAGGTCTAATTTTTTTTCCTTCTTTGTTTCTTGCCTCTAATATTAGGTTTACGATGAAAGTTAAGGTTAGTTTTGGTATCATATTTTTCTAGGAAATGATCATCTAAATTTTCAAATGTACTTCCATAGGGTTTTTCACAATATTCTCTTACTATATACAGTTTTAGTTTGTATATTTTGTCATCCTGCCTCATTTTCATTTCTGATACTGGTTATTCGTGCTTTCTCTTTGATTTTCATAATCAGACTTGCCAGGAATCCAAAAAATTTCCTTCAAAAACTTATCTTTATTGATGAATTGTTTTACTTTAACATTTTTCATTAGCTATTTCTTTTATATACAATCATAGTTTTATTACTCAGTTGTTTTTAAAAATATTTATGATTTTTGACTCATGAATTTTTCAGATGTTTCCTAATTTCCAAGAAAATAAAGATTATCTAGTTATCTTCATTTATCATTCATTTATAGTTTATTAGCATTATGTTCAGAAAACCTACTGCACATGACTTCAATCCTCAAGTAGTTTTTGAAATCTGATTTAAGACTAGGATAAGTTAAAGTTTTGGAAATGTCTTATGTGTGCTTAAAGGTCATGTGCATCCCCTGGTCATTGTTCTATATGTGTCCTTTAAGCAAATGTTATTAAATTGATTTATTGAACCATGTCCTTACTGAGTTTTTGAGTGCCTGTCCTATATATTACTAAGAAAAATATAATAAAGTTCTCAATATAATTTGGAATTTTTGACTTCTCTTTGGTACTTCCTTAATCTTTGTCTTATATTACTTAAAAAATAATAACATTCCATTTTTAGAGCATTTTTAGGTTTAAAACAAAATTTGAAGATATAGAGATTTCTCTACATACTCTCTTCCTTTACATTTTTAAAGTCTCTCCCATTATTGGCATACTTCCACTCCCCACCACAGTGGTACATTTGTTACAATCTATGAGTTGTCTTCTCATTCTCTTTACGTTGTCTTCAGCAGAACACAAATTTTTAAGTTTATTGAGGTTCAACTCACCAATTATTTCTTTCATGCATTGTGCCACTGGTGTTGTGTCTAAAAAGTCATAGCTATGCCCAAGGTCACCTAGATCTAGATTTCCTTCTATGTTATAGTTGAGTCTTAGGATTTTGCATTTTACATTTAGCTTTGTGATCCATTTTGAATTAAATTTTGTGAGTTGGGGATCCCTGGGTGGCGCAGCGATTTGGCGCCTGCCTTTGGCCCAGGGCACGATCCTGGAGACCCAGGATCGAATCTAAAAAAAAAAAAAAAAATTTGTGAGTTGTATACTGTCTGTGTCTATATTCATTTTTCCTCAAATGTGTGTCGGTCCACTTGTTCTAGCACCATTTATTGAAAAGATAGTCTTTGCTCTGTTATATTATCTTCTCTCCTTTGTCAAGGATCAGTTGACCATATTTGTGTGGGTCTATTTCTGGGCTGTCTATATTCCGTTCCATCAACCTGTTTGTTTATTCTCTTGCCAATACCACACTGTTTTGGTTACTGTAGGCTTATAGTAAATCTTGAAGAATTGTCAGTCCTCTAAATTTGTCCTTCAATATTGTGTTGGCTATCATGGGTATTTTGCCTCTTTATATAAATTTTAGAATCAGTTTGTTAATAACCACAAAATGACTTGCTGGGATTTCATTTAATCTATAGATCAAATTAAGAAGCACTGAAATCTTGCCAATATTGCATTTTTCTATCCATGAACGTAGAATATTTATAAATTTATTGCATTCTTTATTTCATGAAAGTTTTGTAGCTTTTCTCTTATAGATCTTATACATATTTTGTTAGATTTATACCTAAGCATTTAATTTGGGGGTGGCAATGTAAATGGTTTTGCATTTTTAACTTCAAACTTTACTTGTTCATTACTAATACATGGAAAAAAGATCGGATCTTGTATATTAACCCTACATCCTGAAACTTTGCCATAATTACTTTAGTTTCAGAAGTTTTTTTGTTGGTTCTTTCAAATTTTCTATATAGATAATCATATAATCTGAAAACCAAAAAAATTCATATCTTTCTATTCTGTATGCCTTTTATTTCCTTTTCTTGTATATTATTACATCATTAGGATTTCCAGTACAAGGTTGAAAAAAAGTGGTCAGAGGTAATATCCTGTTTTGTACCTTATCTTAGTGGGAAAGCTTTGAACTTCTTACCATTTACAATGATGTTAACTGTAGGGTTGTTGTAGAAATTCTTTATCAAAGAAAACCTCTATTCCTGGTTTATTGAATTTTTATCATGAATGGTGGGTTTTGTGAAATGCTTTTTTTCTTCTATAGATATCATGTGAGTTGACTTTTCTAACCTGTTGATGTGATGGACACACTAATTTTTGACTTCTTTAAAATATTTTTTATTTATTTGAGAGAGCGAGTGAGAGTGAGAGAGCAGGAGCAGGGGAAGGAGGAAGGGCAAAGAGAGAAATGGACTCTCTGATGAGCAGGGTGCCCAATGTGGGGCTCAATCCCAGGACCCCAGGATCATGACCTGAGCCAAAGGCCGATGCTTAACTGATTAAGCTACTGATGTGCCCCATGATTTTTGAATGTTTAATCAGCTTTACATACATGGGA